AAACTAAGGGAAAAGGTTACTAAGGCCTTGTTTGTTCCCCTTTTTCAAAATTTATTTCCAACAATATATTTTATGAGATTCATGATTTTTGTCAAATTTTTTGACTCCACATTTCATTAATTTTTATCAAAATTTATATAAAAATTTGATTTTTAATTGAAACCAAACATGGGCTAATTGCCAACATGATGCAACTCATTTGTAGTTTTGCTATGTGTAAATCAAGTTTGACGTTGTTATGAGGTGGTTTCTTTTTATACATTGATTTTAATAGATTTTAAACAATCAATGACACAAATTTTGACACATCTTGAAATGTCAAATTTAATGTACACACAAGGCCATACCTGAAGCGAACTTCAAATTTTGGACTCCTAAGTTATAGTGAGAAATGAACTTTTTTTTAATAAGATTTTTACGGAGCAAAATTTGTTAACTTACAATCAACAATAAAATAAAAAATAAAATAAAATATTTATATTATTAATATTAAAATGAAAATGTTCTAAACAATCACTTAAATACAATCCGTCCTGTGATTTTAGGAGCAAAAATATTAATCAATTTTGAATGATTGAGCTATTTATCCATTTCTTTTCAATGGATAACATGATCAATCCATTCAATTTTTACTTCGACTTAGTTGATCGAAGATAAATCTTGATTAATTTCAACTTAGAGAATCTTCTTTCTGTTGATGCAACTGTAATTAGTATGATTAGCAAAATCTTATAAGCAAGGCAAGTATTTGGAAAACAATAATTCATTTTCTTCAAGTTATGTAGTACATCAATTCCTGTTTTTATTTCTCTAGATAAATAGCACTTCAAGACTGGCAACTCTAAATATAACTCATCACCAATAATGTTTTAATGTCCATTATGTTTTAAATGTTGCTCAAGATTCTCACATGGTTCAAACAAACGGTCAACATTCGTACTTATAACCTCTCCAAATTAAACAAAAATCCAAATATTTCTTCGTGATGTTTAAATTGTTCAAAAAGAATTTGAAGCAAAGATCTAACTTGATCAATTATTAAGAGAATATAATCAATTTTAAAAGATTATTCAGCTGATTATGTTACATTTTTCACTGTCACTTTTATCAAACTGCTTCTTTCTTCGAATATTGCATTTTTTCGAAATACAATTTTAGTTGCCATTACAGCTTCACCATGGCACCAGCAAACCTAGATCCTTTATAATCTTCGAGAAACAAAATAAGTGCTTGTAAAAGCTTGATAGCTTAATCAATATTCATGTTTTCGGCTTGGGAAAAAATTTACTGACAGTATTGATTGCATGCAACAACTTATACCAAATTACCATGTCAAACAAAAGTTCAAAATTCTCAAATTCATATGTTGCTAAGGTCTCGGCTTTACTCTTTGTCTTAAGATCTTCAACAGTATTTGCCAAGTCAAGTAAAACTTCTCTTATATTTACAGATTACTCTTTTATAGGCTTGACACTTTCCACATGATTTTACCAATGTGTTTGTGACAATGGCTTGAGTATTAGACCTTCAACTTTATCTTTAAAAAATTTCCATCGTTTGGGGGAAGAAGAAAACAATGTGTAGATGTGTTGTATCACTTCAAAGAAGGAAATAAATTTAGAGCAACATTTTGCCATGTCACGTAAGGTTATGACAACCAAAATGGAGTATAAAAAGCTCCAAGATTTATTTCAAGTAACCTTCTTTGTACACTTCTACGCTTTTCACTCATAATAGCTTCGTTGTCTTGCCTTTGACCTTTTATATTGTTAATATCAAGCTAAAGTTTGTCTAACACATTTTTAACCTCAACGAAAAGTTGAAGTCTTGATGTATCATCCACCTTAATTTTTTTCCCCAATCTAGTACCATTGGTGAGTTTATTTAATCGTCTATACACTGCATTACTAGAGATATTTGCTACTAATGACTCGCATTTGGAGTACAATCAAGTATGACAAAAATATTTTGCATGTTTCACTTTTGTGACAATTGTACTTTTTACCTAGCTTGCCAACATTTGAATTAATTCATTTTGAATCTTAAGATCAAGATATGCATACTGAATTTCACGTGCTTGAGCAAATCAAATATGTCCTTCCATTATTGAATCAAACTTAACAGCCATTTCTATTATTTGCAGAATAGTCCATTGTTCTCAACATAAAGTTGCTCACAATCTCCTCGAAATGCTAAAATATTTATAACGAGTCTTTTCATGATAGTATTATATTCATTTAACACCTGTTTCCAGTGCTCTCATTCTTTGTTGATGGTTAATAGATGGCATGATACTAGTCGGGTAGCCCCATAGGCTCTTCAAAAACCTTCCCCAATTTACTCAACAACCTTGTAAGCTCTACTGGTGGTTCTCCTTCTACCTTTCCAAACTCGACCCCTATACTGTCTCGTTCAAGAAGCACTCCCTTCCTTGAAGGCTTTCATCATAGCATCCAAGGTGATCAAGGTTTTACTCAAGCTTGGATCCCTTTGTAAAGTCAGTATAGTACCCCCAACATGGAATTTAATCGTGTGTGCTTTCTAGTCAACATTGGTTAGGCCCAAAGTCAATTGCCAATTCATCTCCAAAATCACATCGAAGCTCTCCAAGTCCAGGGGAATAAAATCTTTGACTACATCAATGTTTTGGAGGAATAATAGCACTCCCTTGCACACTCCCACACTTGTATCAGGATCCGAGTACTCATAATCACCTCATATCCAGTTGTATCTATTCTTAGTAAGCCCAACTTCTGTACTGATTTAGCTGAAACAAAATTGTGAGTAGCTCTGCAATCAATTAGTACTACGACTTCTTGACCTGAAATCACCTCTTTCACTTTCATGGTTTGAGGCGGAGTGAGCCGTACTACCAAATCCATAGATAATTCTGCCACCTCACCCGCAATGGTCTGCTCCCCTTCAACTGATTTCTCACTCAACTCCTTAGTTCCCAACCCCTCCTTTAGCTCTTCATCATGAACCAACATCACCTGCAATTACTATCCTTGCTCATTTTTTACGCATTTAGTATGTCAAGTGCACTGTAGGTCTATAACTTTCTCGACTTCTTGAGCTATTTCTTTTGTTATACATGTCTCACTTGCTTTCTGTTTGTGTAGAACTTAGGGACAAGGGAATGCTGGCACTAGGTGAAGGATGTCCATCACTAAAGGATTTGGTGATATCTAACCGTCATCAAATAGAAAAAATCTTCCATGGGACGGTCGAACAACGTGGATGTGCAACCGCCCTATCATGGTACGCCACCTCGTCGGGTGGCCCACCACACACCCCAAAGTATGTGGGCCACCCGTCGAGGTGGTACCTCGACATTGGACGATCGCACCGTCCATGTGGTGTGACCGTCCCTTGGAAAATTTTCTCCATCAAATAACAAATTTAGGTCTGGGCTACATAGCTAGGAACTGTACGATTCTAGAAACTTGCAATATACCTTCTTGTCTTAGCATTACAGAAGCCAACCTTGATAACAAGCTGTCCAAAATTGAAGAAGGTATTAGTTCAGGAGCGAAAAATTAGCCTTGGTTCCGTCATCTTTTTAAATATGTTTGACTTATGAATAGTATATCATTTTGAATCTAAAATCCTAAATGTTGGAAATATACTTTTAATGCATGGTGAATCCATTCTTACAATCAATATCACGTTTAATCTGAAGTTTTCGCAATGATATTTGTGCTAAGGTTTCCAAAATGTACTAGTCTCAAGTGTTGAGATTGGTTCTCCATGTACGTGACACAACTTCCATTTTATCCAGTTGAAGATCAGATGTTCCCAAGGGAACTAGTCCTAAAAGAACCAGTGAGTTTCTAAGCATGGTGCATATTTTGGCCTATGTTTGTCATCAACAATTTTAAATTCCATGCTAGAAAGTTGAAAATTTAGTGTAATGATATTTTCAAATTTATTCTTTCAAAGGACAACCAGACCCAGTCTAGTAATATCCCGCTTCACCTTGGTTAGCCAATGAGTATCCAAATTTATGGTTCCGTTGAGTCATTATTTAGTTGTTGCCACTTCAAACTTGATTAATAAGGTTACATTTGGAAGGATTTCTACTTTGCTTTCTGTAAGAAAATTTCTTGAGGAAATTATTTTAGGTCACTTTCTCTAAAAGTTTTTTAGCCAAAAAAACATTTGTTGAAAATTATTCAAATAAGTTTAAAAATAAATTTTTATTGATACAATTTAATTAATTATTACACAAGCATATAAGCTTGTGTAGGCAAAGTCACTGATCATTCCTGTCGCCATTATTGATACAGTCACAACAGATTTTAACAAACCATTGTCGAGATTCTAAATCACATTCTTTTTCGATGTTGAAAGAAATTTTGAAAGCTTTGTATGTAATTTTATTATCGTTCGTGTGGATCATGCGTTGAACACATAAATCATACCAAGCTTATACTTGGGTAGGTTTTTGAAGAGAATTAAATATGACAGATGTCTCAAACGTAATTGGAGTACAAGAGAAATTTCAATAAAAATAATTCTCAATTCAATCCACAACTTCGGTCCAAAACATGATCCTAACAAATGAGAAGTGGAGATCCAAATGTCCATATTTTACTAATCACTAAAACAGGTTCAAAAGTATAGAATCTAGACACAAT